GCTTATTTCTTTTCTCCCTTTTCCTCTTTCTTCTCCAGCCCGTTTCTGCTCTTCTTGTCTTCCCGCTGCACCCGAAAGAAAGAAAAAAAAAGGGGGAACCAGCCATGCTTTGAGAAACCGGTAAAGCTTGATGATTTTCCCTTCTTTTCTTGTTCTAGAACCTGATTTGGAACCCAGAAATCTCCCCCCCTGCAGAAAGCTTTCGGATCTGCTCTGCTCTTCCCTCTGCTGTCCGTCGGCTGCTCTTGTTTGTGGGGGCAAATTGCTTGGGTTTTTGGTAAGAAATAGCCATGAATCTCCCTTCTCTTGCTTGAATTAGCTTGGGTTAACTTTGATTGCTCTTATTTCCTTCAATTTTTGGGTAAACCCGTGAGTTTTCCTTGCAGCTTGCCGCCGGCCTTCTTTCCCCTGCCATGTCCGGTTTCTGCAGCTGTAAATTATGGTATGTGACAGCCTTTTAAGGCTTAAATTGTCCATTTAGTTTTTTGCCTTGTGTGTCTGTGAATTGCCAGAAAATTGGGGATAATTCCGGTAGCTTTAGGACCATGATTAAGCACTAATTCAAGTGGGATTTATGTGATTGAGTGTTAATTGCTTGTTGTGATTTTTGGAGAGAAAATCCCGTGAGATTAGCTAGTGTTTTGGCCAATTTGTGGGGGTGGAGTTACTGTTCACGTCGGGGTACTGTTCACCGGTTACTGTTCACACCCCGAGGGCCAACATTTAACAGGGATTTAAATGATTAGTTTGTGATATGAGAACGAATTTGGAGATGTCCGATCATGTGGAAAGTGATAAAAATAGCATTGTGATTAGGAATGATCCTAATGATGATTTCAATGTGAATTTGTGATAGTACCGTATTGATTCTTGGATGTTTTGATTAGGTTCCCGATCATTCTGTCAGTTTAGTACGTGAATTGAGTGCTCGGTTTTATGCGAGTGAGGTAAGTAAATTTATGGTAATGCCCGTACTGTTTTTAAAAGCATGTTTTGATTTGTTTTTGAAGTGGTGGCGGGACTAAACCCGTTTTACATGAGCATGACTGATTTTAAGTGAAATGTTTTATGCTTTTCATTAAATTGAGCATGCCTACTTGAAAGTTTAAATGACTATCCTAATGATTTGAAAGTGATTGTGAATCGTGATTTTTCTGTTAACCGCCTGTTTTGTCTCCGATATGATCATGTTATTCGTGTGCCCGCTAGTGGGAGGTTTATAAACGCTAGCACATGTCGACATGTTACTGATAGAACCGGTTCGTTTCTGTAACCCTACTAGTGGGGGTTAAACACTAGTAATTTCTGTAGCCCGCCAGTGG